GGGAAAATTCAATTATTTTATAAAAAGAACTAAATTATCGAAAATCGATCTAAATTCTCAGTAAAAAGATAATGTACAAAGATTGATAAAATGTTAGAAATTTTATTAATGACATTTTGTTGACAAGATCAGTTTAGATCATATTCTTAGTTATGTGCACGAACTATAAACTATTTGGAGAGCATTGAAAACTATATAATCTAGCTGAATTCTTTCGATTTTAATTTCAATGGGTTTTCAAGAACATATAATTAATTTGGGGGTCATGAGATTTTATAGATAACCTGTTAAACCATATGTTTATTATCAAGAGGTTTATTAGAATGTGTGTTTATTTCTTTGTTTTTACTATAATTATATCTTACTATTATCAAAGTACATGATGGCTAATATAATTACGAGTTTAAACAATAGAAATTCCAATAAACTAATACAATGATTACAGTCTTTCAAGTACTCGGTGGTTTTATTGTATTTATTCTCAGTTATTATTTGGCTGACAATAAGTTGAAATCCTCACTGTCGAGTGTATACATATTTCTTTTTTCATGTCAGGTATATGTTGTGAATATATCAATTAGATATAAGATTCTGCTCTAAGTTCAGTTATTATACAGTATGTTAATAAATACCACCACAAGTCTACTGTTTGTTATTATTATAATCTAATTTCATTTACTCTAAGTATGCATTTCAAACATTGTCACTTTATTTACCCGGTATTCATTCATTCTGTTGGTACCAGAAACGATCTTTTTTTCCAAGTTAAATAATAAAATTATACTTAGTTGAATAAAGCTACATGGATACTAGTATAAAGTTGAGCTACTTGATAAATGTCTAAAACATAATCTGACATCAAATAGATAAAAAATCTTTATTGTGTATTCAAAAGCAAATAATTCAATTAATCATTTTTCTTTTTACTTGAAAAACAAGAACTAATTTGATCATTTTTCTTTCCTTTTATAACTTCATCTTTCTTTTATCTGTGATGTTTGATTTTTCTTAAATCAATCAATATTCTTATATTATTACCTCAAAGAAAAATATTTACACTATTTTGCATTATCTACTATTTACAACTTAATATATACTTTGGATTTTCTTCATTGCAAAAAACAAACAAAAAATTTTGTGGTTGCCATGAATAGTTAACTAACAGCATCGATGTACAACACTTTTTTTATTGATAATAACAAATTTTAGTATTTGTACTAAGGTAAACAAAACAACACGAAATAGATCTATAACTTTCTAAAACAAACATTTAGATAGTAGATCAATAATGATACATGTAAACTGTACAAAATAAACTTGAAAATAATATAAAGTAATAGGAAATTGATTATTAAAGGAAAAAACTGCTGTAGGTATATCGTATTTAGTGCATGAATAAAACCCTATAGTTTCTATTTGAGTGAATACAAAATTTTATTGCATAAAATAAATATTTACATAAAACAGAATAATTTAATGAACCATAAGACCTCTATTGTAATAATATTTTATTCTGAGGATTACTGACAGTTCAAAAACATTATTTTCAGCCGTATAAAGCAATATTGTGGTCATACTCACAGTATGTACATATGCCAATAAGAGATCAATTGCAGTCTTAAACATCAATGGAAAGATCCAAGTAAACAATATCAAGTAAATCTAAACTTCACCCTCATTGCATAAGCAAGTGACTATTAGTATTCAGTATCTAAGTGGATAACGTGATGGTATTTTAAGCTAACAGTATTGAGTTCGAGTCTCAGAATGAACGTCAAATCTGAGATACGGGTACATCGAACTAAAGAGTCCCAAATAGAATGAAACGCGCATCCTGGATTCCACTGCTAGCCACTATCCATCTTTGCATATAATGCTTGTGAATTAAGGCTATATCGATTCAATACGCATGGTATGCACATATGCCAATAAGAGACTGATCAATTGCAGTCCGAAACATCAATGGAAAGATTTAAGTAAACAGTACCAAGTGTATGTATATATTTAATTTTCTATTATTGAAAAAAAACACTGCTGAAAACTACTAGATTTAAAGATTTAAGTTTCTTTATGCATATAACATTTTAAATGTTTGATATTTATGATTCATATTTGTTTAGCAAATGTACAATATTTTCTTGTTTAGCATTTCCGTCAAGAAACTTTTATGGTATTCTTGTTGTTTAGATGCATTTATGCTTATAAAATTTGAGTAATATTAACGTTTGAAAAGGTCAACTACATTTGAACATATTGTATATAAAATAATATTTTTATTTATATTTAAAACATCAAATATGAAATAGAACAGAAGAGATTTTATATTTTCAACCTTAGAAAAAATGAATATTTCGTAAATCTTAGAATGTATTTCGGAATATTTCAACAATGAACATAAACATTAAATCATAAGCACCCAAATACCTGGGTATGACCGAGAGTGGGTAGACTCAGCTCTCTCTCCAAATGCTCTCACATGGCCACGAGTATATACTCACTGCAAGTGAAGTTCTACTCATTGCCTTTTCGCAACGTGGATGTTGTTCACGAAAGTCAGAGAACAAAAAGTGAATGTCCAGAGCTTTAACCGGGTAGGTGGACACACATTGATTGCAAACCCATGATGCACATGGGTTAAAGGATCCTGAGGGAACAAATGGTGTATGAACTTATTGTTGACCACTGGCTACCACGGAACTGCATCTCCTGACGTTGTTCTCCTGTCTGGTGGATTAGAGATTCAGGTCAAAGGCTCCGGGCGCGTCTCCCTAGGAAAACCACCTGCTTCGGTTTGGGCACCCGAGTAGTATCACAGCCCCCACACAAATCGAATGATTTATGTGGCGTAGATCTGTTTGGTGTCTCTTTGTTACATTGTTTATGTGTTTAAATAACAATAATAGAATATACAAAACGAAAATTCAACTTTTATTTCGAACAAGTAACACAGTTTTTATGGGAATTCAAAAGTATTTTAATCTGAAGTTATATTTTCACTGCTACAATTTTTTACGAGAAAATGTTTATTTAGAGTATAATACTGAAATCAAACTGTGTACCATCTCATGGCAAGTATGATAAATTCAAAATAAACTAAGAATTTTCTGAAAAAAATCAGGAAAATTATAAACATTGAAAGCATCAAAGTTTCAAATCAACTAAAAAGTCATATTATCTCAAAACGGATGAATAATTTTGTTGTTCATAGTAATTGTGTGAAAAAGATTTTTGAAACTATGAGTTAAGTTTTTTTCGTTCATGATCATAAGCATATTGACATAAAGCTTCATCAATATGAATTGGAATAGATTACATCAATGTTATGCGATGGGAATTTTAAATTTCAACATATGTTGATGTGAACTGAAGCTGAAGTTTGAAATCTAAATGAATTTCAAACTAAATAAAATTTAATACTATTAATAATGACGAACTTCCAATGTCAGAGATTATATCTAAGCTTTATTGAAAATTATTACTATTTAGAAATATCTGGAACATCTCATTCACGTCTAAGTGAATCTGAAGAACAAGTAGTAGTAGCAAGAAATGTAATTATAAAAAATCAAGTGTCCTTTTTGCATTAAAAGCGAGAGATATTGTAGAATTCTAATTTTAAAGTAACAATAATATCGTACTATAACAATAAAAAAATAAAACAATCTAACATAAACCTTTTCCGAATCCAATTTTCAGCAAAATTTATCATTTTTTAAAAATAGAAAGATGAATCAATTAATTGAAAGTTATAGACACAATATGAGTATTATTGTAATTTAGAAGGTTATCGCTGATATTTGTAGTATTTCAATTCATATCATCAAAAAATCATAAAAAATAACCAAATGCATCTTGACAGACATTATTTATTCTTGAAAACTAAAGAACATTCCATTGATTATAAGTTGGTGGCTAATTCGTTCAAAATATTTCATTCTTATCAAAAGTCAGTAGCAGCTTAATTAGTAGTATAATATATTGTTGTAGAATTAGTAGATGTGAGTTTAAATCTTCCGGATAAGATCAACGTTTAAGATCTAGAATTATATTAGTAATGATGAAGTGATTTTATTGCCAATAAATTACTAATGAACACATCCACATTAAAACGGAAATCAATAATATTTGAAGGAGATATACAATTCTCCAATCTAAAATAACTGTTTTAATGATAGTATGCAATACCAGAGTTTCAAATTTCTATAATGAGTATTTGTATTTGATGAAAAGTAGACTTTAAGCGTCGGAATTTATTTGTAATTATGGCATTTCCAACTAGACCTATTGAAATCAAGTAAACAAACCAATTAACATTCATAAGAATACACTGACTACTTAAGAAAAAATAGCTTCCAATTCAAACATGTTTGCTGTTACTAATGATATTTACTACTATCGACCAGGAAATACTGAACAGCTATGGAATTTGAAATGCTTACCATTAAAAAGTCTTAAACTAGAACGAAACAATTGTGTTCGTCTAATTTCAGTATGTGATGAACACCTTTTAATATCATGTTAAATCTGTCGTTTGTATTAAGAATTCATTAAACTATCTAGTTCATATGAAACAAATTATTCTTGACTATATATTATAGCTTCTTTGTTATTCTTTTAATATAAACTAATACCTTAAATACCAGGTTATTGGTAAATTTATCTTTTATCTTTCTATTCATTTGTTCGATGGAAATTTTGCCTAGAAACAAAAGAATTTAATGAAAATGGCATATATATATATATATATTTAAAATTTAGCTATTTATCATTATTCTATTTTTATTATAATATAAAAATAACTAAGACAAACAAGAAATAACAAAAGGAACATAAACATGAACATAGAATGGAAAAATAGCCAAGAAAAAAATTATATCAAAAAATAGGATGAATAATATTGACCAATCAGTTCATTTTTACTGGTTCTACATAAAATCAATAATGAACCAATAAAATCTAAAGTAGGGAAAAAAGTCAACACTATTAATTTCAGTTTATTTATTCTAAAAGAATATACCTTTACACAATGTTGGCCATTAATATCAATGATATATGTATATATAAATAGAATATTAAATGTACAAATGATTGTTTCTTTCAAATTTAGCCATATATCAATATGGTTATAATCGGAAATTTATTTGATTGATACCATAACTACTAACATTGTTTATTATAATAAGTAGTATATAATATTTTAATCAAAACATCTAGTTCAAACCAATTAAAAACAATGTCAATTATTAATTGATTGTGAAAATCAATAATACAAATAATGAGTCAACAACCTGTAAGTTGAATTTATTTAATATAAAATGTATGCATTGTAGAAATTTTGTTAATTAATAGTAAGCCCTTAGTGACTGAAACGGTTTAATTGGTTTAAAATAAAGAATATTAGAGTATTTCCTTACTCATTAAGTTGCAAATGTTGTTGATTAATTATAAAGCTAACATAGTATCAATTACATTTATATTTCATTTGTAGATATCAATGCCAAGGTTGGACTTGATAGTTTTAAATAAATGGAGTATTGAGTAGAAAGTTAATAATTAATATATTTTTTGTTATATCCCAAACGGTAAAAACTGTTTATTTCTGACGTTTCGTAACTCAATATAAGCTGCTTCTTCAGAATAAATAAATAACTCCGTTAAATAATTCAGTTATTTATTTACTTTGAAGAAGCGTCTTACATTAAGTCACGAAATATCAGAAATACAATTTTACGACTGTTTGGGATATAACAAAAAAATATATTAATTGTCATATTTCATCTGATTTTAAATAAATTTCCATTATTAGGAAGATATATTTAAGCGTAGAATATTCTTTTCAGATTTTAAAATTATTAGTTCAAATACTTGATTAAAGAATATAGCCAGGTTTAAGGCAAATGTATCTGTTGAAAGACAGAATTATTTTCAAAACAACTTCGTTAGCAATAAGATAACTATTGCGTAATATATATTTGTTACAAATCATAGATCATTTGGAAGTGTAATATTAACCATTGAAGCAAATATAAATTGTCGGAGATGAAAGAGATAAAATGTTTTATCATAGATAGTGTAAAGTATGAAGCAAAATGAAATGAAATAACGAATAGTAATATTGAATGAGTGTTAAATCAAATTGTCACTTATACAAAAAATCATTAATAAGTTGAATTAAATCAATTCACTTAAATATAGTTAAAGATAGAATGTGTACATTTAACATACTAACCAGATTTAAAGTTAACCAAAGGTAAAATATGTGTAAATCTGAGGTTTTCAGATGCAAAGCATCATTTTTTGATTAATAAACTTTGTAAATGGTATTGTATCCCTATCAATATATAACGTAATGATATCGCCAATTAGAGAACAGTGAATTATCGATCGGACCAATGACACGTAAAGCCGGACGAGCAGTTTAGAATCCTTATCGGTTCTGTTTCCTGCTTAGTCCTGCCTGTTAAGTCCAGAACATTAATCTCAGCCTATGCGATATGAATAATGTATTTCAAACATACTAAGTTTATATACGAACCAAACAGACCACGTCGTACCATAAATTAGGAAACAATATTTGTACAACATTTAGTCATATGTGGCTGTGAATATGGGAGATAGTAACTGATAGACTGAGTATAATTCAAGAATGGTAATTCGTATAATAATAGTTCATAGATCAAAATAAAACTTATGATAAGAAAAGCACGAATATGAATAATTTAGTCACTTAACAATTACATAATTTAAAAAATATATGTATAGTATTTGTCCGAAAATAGAATCCAACAGTTACCATTCATTATTCTCATCGGGACATAACAATAAACAAAATGAAATCCTAATGTGATATTATGTATAAGTAACTAAAGAGAATTAATAAATGAATGAATTATTTTGTGATTTGTTAATTAACCATTTTTAATTACTGATTATTAGTGTTATTGGATGTAATGGATAATAAGTATATTGATTTATGATTTATTTTAATGGGAATGTCTTCACTCTACATAATGTTTGATAATAATGATTCCTTAAAGAAAATTATTATTCAAATTTTTTATCGGTTTATGCAACCAGATAGAATACAGATGAATTTAAGTTGAAGCCATTTGATTGATTACTACTTGTTCGAATATCGATTGACAATATAAAAGAAGTTAAATTCTATAAATGTATTTGAAGTAATAATTCGTAAAAATAAATTATGTTTGTTAATCTGAAGGTGTTTAAGCTAAGACAAGTGTGAAACGTTGTCAAAAGTGCTAAAACTAAAGTGTGATACATACAAGTTGACAACATTATAGTAGTTTTTTGTTCACCCTTTTTGGCGATTATGAAAAAGATAATAAATTTTTAAAACTAAATAAACACATTCACGTGTAATTTAAGCAGTGATGGATAGTGGTTAATAGCGAAATCTATGACGTGCTTTTCGTCCTATTAGTGATTTGTCAGCTGGAGGTACTTGGGTTCTATGAGTGATATTCACTATAGGACACGAATTCACTACCGTTTTCTTCAAGCGTTGTAGCATTATTCACTTATCTGATGAGTTCAGGTAACCACTCATTTGTTTAATGGAGTATATTTTAATTACTTTGAGTCCCGTAGTGAGCACTAACTCTGGAATGCAACTAAATTCATCTGACAAGAGCCAGATAGGACGAGCCACCAACCATATCTGTGTAAAACTTTTTGTGACTTAACGGCAATGCACACAAGAAACTGGTCAATAGTAGTCTTAAACATCAATGGGAAGATTTACACAACTAATATAAATAAATTAAAACAATGCATTCGTTCAATGGTTATTAAATACAGTTAATAATCTAGATGGTTGCGATTACTCAGTAGGTAGCCCTACTCACTACCTCTTACTACCTAACATCTCAATATAGTGTACACGATTTTGAGTCTCTTACATCAGGGATCACGTTGCAACTTGATCAACAGAATCTCAGCAAGATTAATGGACTAGATAGATATAACATTGGCCAATGCTCAACCAGTCAACTATAAACAGAATTGTTATTCCTTTTTTCGTTTATTTATCATGCTGGTAATAATTCTTGTGATTTATCTCTTTACATAGTCTTAAATGAATTTCGCTAAAACTAGTTTAAATACAGTGGATGTAAATAAACAGTGTTACTTAATCATAAATGATAGATTATATAAGCAGAGAATTAAAAAGCGATAAAAGACTCTAATAATTTCTGACTAGTGTTGGAGACGGATAGAAGAAAGTTACGGGCGGTTAAACCAAAACGTGGAATCGGTCCATTACTTCACTAACTTCTGATCCGAGCCATGTTGGTAAATGTAGACTACTTAGTTGGGGTCCTTGCAACTATCGTAACCATTGGCTGGAGACTCTGAGTGACATTCGCAGTGTATATACAAGTGTATACACCATCTGTCTTCCCTTAAACCGCGGGATTAAAATTACTCTGTATTTTTCTTTCTACGGAATAATTCTTTCTCCCTATATGCAATTTTTTATATATTACTACTATTGATGTAACTTTCTATAAATTTGGTGTTAATCTTGTTGTGCTAATGAAATGTGGAAATTTGGACCGATGAATATATGTGCCTGATCCTACGTTGTGAATGACTGACTGACTGAAATAGATAAGAACCGATAGTTTTAATTTGTAGTATGGTGAATCTTCGTAGATACTTTTCACTTGATTACTGGTTTAATATCTGAATAAAAAAATCATTCAACTGTTTCGTCTGAAGTGTATACAACCCTCAAATATAATACATAACTAATTATGAATTGTTATTAAAAAATTTATATTTTAATAAAACAAACGAGCAAAAATTAATGCAAACGAAAAGGCAAAAAAAGACAAGAGATGAGTATAAAATGGGAAATAAACAAATAACTGATAAACGAAACACGTTCAATTATTGTCTCGTAGACGTCTGATTTTAAAATCATTTGCATTATTCATAGCCTACTGTATTTTTCTTTTAACTCATTAGCAACAAAAGTTATCAGGCTAACTTATTAACACAAAACTTGTTTAAATATAACTATGCTTCATCATTATTTGATCAATCCATTATTGGTGATCAGCTGATCAGATGAATTTAATTTTGACGCTTCAGTTATTGTTAACACTAGTTATTTAGATCCTTTAATTTTTCTCTTTGTTACAGATATACACTTCATTTTATTTGTTTATTAATAATTCCCTAATAGCATACTTTCAATTGACTATTGTGAGTTTTAAAATCTTTATTTAAAAACTCATATATAACTAAAATATGCTGTTTAATTAATGAGAACCTTTTTTTCAATAATTCCACATTAACAAATCCATTTTATTCTGGCTAATATCATTCTTTATTTTAATAGTTGTGTTCATGAGTCAATTAAATCTAGATTACTATGGAAAACCTGGAAGCACTGGACAGTCGTTCCGTCCTAGTATTGGACTCCTCAGCAGTGTACATTCACTATCCTGCCTCACGGAATTCCAACCCAGGACCTATCGGTCTCTCGCGTGCGACCGCATAACTTGTAAACCACTAAGCGTTAATGTCTAACTTCAACCAAACCACTAGATTCTACCACTGTCTTTATTTTATTTTAAATAAAAATTACTTTTAACTAAGTTGGGTTTGTATCATCAACTAAAAATAGATAGTTTCATACTATTTCTAAAATTATTTCGATTAGTTGGATATCCATTGATTATGAATAGAAGTAAGAGATATTCCTCTGTTTTTTTCTTTTTTTAACTAAAAACTTTAATCTAAAAATGATCAAACCTAATTCTAATATTTTGGAATTATTTACACATTTTGTTATATAGTTTATTCATGATGATTTAGTTATAAGAAATCAATACTTTTTTAAATCATTAAAAACCGCCAAAAATAAATTATGAAACAATAAGTAACAAAATGAAAAAAATATGAAAAGAGTTATTTATTTAATTTTTTCGTGATATTAATATATGAATAAATTTGATTAAAGATGATTAGAAGACATTGTAGATTTATTCTATTTTTGTATATAAAATCTTATAATATACATAACTCAATAAGTTTATGGATGTATAGATGCTTGAATAGAGTATTAGCAGTAACAGGTATCATTTGATCATTAGAACAGAAGTCTTTGCCTCAAATCAGTACCATTATTCAAATGTTCTTCCCGTTTGTTTTCTTTAGTTATACTTTTCTTAATAAGTTCAAATTAAAAGTTGATTTTATATGTTATGAACATTTATCGGTTTAAAATATTTAGTTAATATTAAGCTACAGTTATTT